TGTGTGTGTGTGTGTATGTGTATATACAAACTAAAGCATCATACACTTTAATACACATTTTTACATACACACATGCGCGCACCCACCCACACACTTAGCGGCGTAGGGACACATGTCTGTGTCCGGCCAGCACGCTTGGATCTGCGTTTATCGAGTGGATAATTTCACCGGTTTCCTTCCGGCTCAGGTAAATCAAGTATATTGCAATGAGGCCAACCTACGCAACCAACGAGTCTTGCTTCTCTTTACTATTTTCTCCCTTTCTTCTGCTCGGTTTCTCTCTTCATCTTTATTTCACCCCTTCCGCATCTGTTGTGCATACGAGCCACAGGGTGCACATGATGGAATCCAAGCCATTTGTGGACAAACAAATAACTTTTAAAGCGTCACTGGCGCTTTGTACCATGAGATTGATTGCTTTTGGCTATCCTTGAAGATTTTACTTCCCATCCTCTAAATTGAGAACTGCTCAGTCTGGTACAGGCCATACTTGCCATTTTTTCAACAAATGAAAATATCATTAGTGCGCTCAAATTATGAGCTACGATGGCAACCAGTTAGTACTCTTGCTGCATGGTTCATAAATTCATTTTCCAACCGAAATTCTTATGGCCCTTATGTTTTCCCATAACTTGCCGATGAGTAAGTATGGGGAAAGTTTTTCCGGACAAAGAGGAAACTTTAATCCACTTTGTGCCCAAAAGTAGCCTGTATACACGCACATCCTATTGCCTGTGCCGGGGTTTATGTCGGAAGAAGTTTTGTTTATTTGGGTCATTTAAGTGATGGCAACAGAGCATCCCTTCGACTTAATTGCTCATCATAATCCGTTCTGAAGTTGAGTGTTTTTCACACTTTCTAGCCTTTTAAGTGTGGAAAGGCCCTGGTTTTAGCTTTTGATCTCCGTGTTCAAGACGACTTTATCATGCAACCTCGCATTGCTGACGCGTTTACGTCACTTCAGAGCGAATTTCCCCAAATATCCTCATTTTTACATCCGTCCAACTCGTCTACACCATATTTTCTCGTATTCTATCAGTTTCAGGACTGATCTTGGAGTACTGCTCGTCTAAGGATTCTAATCACTTCACAGTTGGGCCATTGGAGGTCGTATGGGTTTTATCAGTACCTACAAATGAACTCGAAAACTGGCAGTACCTCTTCGATATGCGGCCTCTAGCCATACTGCCATTTTTGTCATAGTCGACCTCACTGGGTAGACTTACATTTGCATTTTCAACCCACAATACCTTTATCACCTTAAAGGAAATATGGTGAACACATCTCGCATATCTGATTTTCTGGTTGTCTCGAAAAATAACTTACAAACGAAATGAAAGGTATGCCAACATGAGTCTATTAAGGGGTTCTTTGGAAACCATTTCTTCTCCATATGAATAGGCTTCTTATCTATCTCCGACTATTCACATTCTTGCGGCTATCACTCTCATCTCGGGTCCCGAAGTACCACTCGTCTAAGGAGTTGGATCATTTCACACTAACATACGGAATACTCACAGGTCTTGTCCTCTCAGACCCTTCAACAATCGGTCTCCGTCTTCAGGGTTCACTCTTCATGTCTATCAACTGTATCCAGGCCTCGATTCGCCTAGCTATCCGTCCATTGGTCTATATTCGTGCAACTGGCTTACCGCGACCTGAAAGCCCGTACACACCTCCACTTTGTTTCACCGAGGCACTCCTATCATCTTGCCTCCAGCCCCACTATCCTACGGCCCCGGCCAATGTACCACTGTTTGCCAGATGGCTAGCTGGGTGACTTCATGCATTGCCGTTTGTCGGGTTTGTTTATGCCGGTTGACTGACAGGCCTGTTGCACTAAGGTCGGAAAGATCCTCCATCACCATGTGTCGCTACCGCTGAACTCTGTCCACGGAACTTGCATTATTGATGCGTTCTGTTGCCTCGGTGCCGGCGAAGACAGACAGACCGAACAGCCCTGGAGAGGGTTTTAGTCCTTCAAAAAAGTGGCTGAGCTGCCCAGGACGAAGGGAAAGAGGTGCTCGCCTCTGCTGGCTTTGGGTAGACTTTATTTTCCATGGGCCAATCATTCATGCGAATAGATCAGGTGTTCTCTCTTGTTATGCCGTATTTCTATTCAGGAATATGCATTAAAACTGGTTTTCTATGCATCCCTTAATGATTTTGCTTCATTGGAGTTGGCATTTCGTGTAAAAAGTTGACTGGAGCAAACACCTTGATTGGCCTCACCGCAACCCAAAGAAGGATTGCTTTGCTCTTGTATTTGCTAATTTGTTGAGTCCACCTCTATTTCAAATGAAAATGTAGGATGAACAGCTTCACAGAACGAACACACCAGGAGACTTTCGACTTTTCTTAAATGTTCCGCCCAGTCCTCACCACAATCTTCGTCGGCTCCTGCTAAGATTGACTGAATTTCCGTTTATCATGCCACCTGAAAGGCACCATCAGAGCAAAGTACTATTCTTACAACGAATTCCAGTAAAGGAGTCAGCAAAATTAACCAGTTTATTCCTTTATCCGGTATATATACTCTAAACCTATGAAATTTAGCGAGTATAGTTTGAGTTGGTTTATTCATGCCTTATGCTAGCCTAAAAACAAGTGTGTTGTACATTCGTATGCACGTAAAGGTACAAAACCAACAATTGTAATTCCAATCGGGTTGGTATTTGTCCCCCGACCCGATTACGTAATGTCTGAGA